GGGGGGGGGGGGGGGCAGCAGGAGGCCAAGAGCAGTTATTTTATTTAACTAATTAGTGTCTCCTCATTCCGCGCATGTGAGCCTAAATGGCTTTCGAATGCTAATCCGCTCCGCAAATTAGATGATCTCCTCCTTGGTGTAAACTTGTTCTTTAGGCGCCCGAAGAAATCAAATTAAGATCCCGGCTGTCAGGTGTCCGGCGCTCGGCTGCGCCTTAGCACGCAGCGGTCCCGGGAGCCCTGACCCCAACCCAGGGCCCAGCACGGCAGGGCCACAGCTCGCCTGGCCGCGAATCGCGGGGCTCCTCGCGGCCCCGGGGGCTGGAGGGGACTTGGGAAGGGGCGCCCATGCAATGCACCTAAGCGTGGCCCGTCCTTGGGGCAAACGGGGCAGCAGCCCGGCCTTTCCCCAGCGTGGGCTCCCTCTCTGCAGACGGTGAGCTCCACGGGGCCCCGAGACGCAGTTGCTCAGCCCCAGGCAGGATCAGGCCCCTGGTGCACGCTCCTGAAGCTGGAAGCTGCCCAGACGCCTGCACCCGCACCCGCGGCCGTGGGAGAAGTGCAAGGTGAGAACGGGCGCCGTCGGTGTGGGGGCAGGTGTCCGATGCCGGCGCCTCCGGCTGGAGACGCCCCATCGATCAGCCGGCACGCAGACCATCCGTCTCTGCCCTGCCTGGGCCCCGGCAAACAGCGAGGCAGCGATGGATCCCGTGGTCACGGGGGGAGCGAGTCTGGCGCCGGGCGCCTGGCACCGCCCCGGGGCCGTCGCACACGATGCAAACACACATGCTCCGTGCCCCCTCCACAGCCCGGCCCCGATTCGGGGGAGTGCAGGGGCACGTCCTTAGCCGCAGATCGGAGCGACTCGCGTTTGCACTTAGCTGCTCTCCCAAATTGAGGCCGGGCTCCCAAGAGCCCAGGGCCACACTCGCAGACGGGCACCAGCAGCCCCTGAGCCCCTCCCCTGCCAAACTGGGCATCGTCTCCCTGCCAGACTGGGCTGAGCAATCCCTGGCCTTTGCCCGCCCGCCCTGCGCCATCCCAGCGGTGCGGAGAGCAAGAACACTTGCAGCTGTGCCCTCGATTCAAGTCCTCCCAAGAAGTCATTATCAGAACTCACACTTATTTTTGTCGCGTCCTTCCCAGCTTCTTCCTGCTGCGATGCTTTTAGCTGTGGGGAGAGGAGGGAGAGGAGAGAGCCCGTTAGTTTGGCTGGACGTGGGGGGGGAAACCCATCAAGCTAATTCACACCTCAGCCGTAATGCCGACTTCGAAGCCCGGGAGCAGGGAAGGACGTGGAGAGAGGCACGAGCAGGAGGGATGGTTGTCTCAACCAAGGGCAAGGCGGATGAGAGAGCCCCCCTGGCCTGGGGAGGCCTGGCAAGGCCCCGGGCGCCCAGCACCGATCCCCTGCGGGGCCGTGGCCCAGGACCAGGGGCCCGGGGCCCCTGCAGCTGCCCATCTCCCCCCTGCAGACACCCCCACGTTGCGGGGCCCGGGGGTCCGGGCCGGCAGCGTGCCGCTCGGCTTCTTCCCGAGGAGCCGCGTGGCCTGCCGCAAAGGGCTGCGAGCCCCACGTCTCCCCCCGCCCTGCCCCGCTCCCCGGCAGTGCTCTCCCGCGATAGCATTTCCCTGACACGTCTCTCAATTTATGGTAATGCCGGTAGCAGCGCCCTGCCAAAGACACAATAATAAAGCCTCATTAAAATACCTAAAGCTGCCTTTCCATTCTTTGGCCCTTATCTCGGTGTGAACAGAAAGAGGAATAAAGAGACAGCTGTTTGCCAGGACTGATATCCAGGAGGAGAGGGGGGAGATGGAGGTGGATAGCGGAGGACGAGTGCGGCGGGGCCCGTCCGCCAAGACGATCCA